TGGGCAAGTGGGAGGTGAAGGATTAGAGTAAGGACACATAGAGGGGAAAAACAATTACTCAGATGGAGGAAAAGAACTAACCTCCAGAAAGAATGAACAGAGCAAGATTCATAAAAGAAAACAGAAACACACACACACACAGAAACAGGGACAGAGATGGCAACGGGAAAGGGGAGCAGAGAAGAGAATTCCTAAAGCAACGCCAATGGTGGGACAGTCCTGTGGTGCTGCAGTTAAGCCCTATGCACAGGAAGACAGGGCTGGATCCCACATGGCCAACTGCAGTTTGAGTTCTCACTATGGCAGCTTGAAATACAGATCGGGTGCACATGCGTGCATGCCCAAAATCCTAGCGAGGAGGAAAAAGGACTACAGTGTGACCTCGTCCTCTCTCTCTCATGCACGTCTGCTCGCTCGCTCTCTCTCGGTGAGCACACATACCCTCCTGCCAATGAAAAAATAAAAAATAAGGAAACATGAAATGGCAGAGGTGCTGTCCGATGAGGAAGTTCCTGTCCCAGGATGGGGACAAAGAGAACCAAACCACCCATCTTATCTTATTCATGGAAACTGCAGTCTCTATGAATTTCCCTAGCCCTTCCATGCTGTGAGGTGTTACTTTCCTTTACAAAGTTTATTTTTTAAATGAGGAAGTGGGTACCAGCAGGTAGCACAATGGTTAAGACGTTGGACACCCATAAGGCCTATGGCAGTTCAAATTCCAGACCTGGCAGCTTGAAAATCATGCCAGGTGCACATGTGTGCCCCAAATCCTAGGGGAATGGAGAAAAAAGGACTGCAGTGTGGACATGCAACCTGGGAGATGATTTCTCACTTTCCCTCCCACTGTCTCCTCTGTCTCTCCCTCCGGAGAGCACATGCACCCTATGGCAAAAACCACAAAAAAAATAAAAAAATAAAAAAGAGGAAGGAAAGGAAAAAATTTTTAAATATGACATGCTGAATGTTTAGAGTGTGAATGAAGGATATGTTTATTTTAAATTTAAGAGATGCCAGTAAATTTATAATTATACCAAAAGATACTCTAAAACTTCTAAACTGACTTGTCTTCTTTATTGAGCTATTAAAGTATTATTCCACTACCGAGTTTTCTTTTACTTTACTATTCTGGGACTACAGATTTTTGTTTTATCTTGTATCAAATCCTAACTGTCTTAGTGCAAAATCAATACTAACAAATAAAATAAGAAGTCCTGAAAAATAAAGAGATGACATACTCTTCTCTTGAATCCTAATTCACTCCAATTGATCTTTTTACATATCAAAACTGTCAAGTGGCAATTTCCTAACCTTTGACCTAATGTAATAAAATAGTACTCAGGTGGTATAGTGGTTAAGGCTGTTGGACTCCCACATGGCCAGTTACAGTTCGAGTCCTGGACCTGGCGGCTTGCTTGCTCGCTCGCTCTCTCTCTCTCTCTCTCTTGCTCTCGCTCTGTCCCTCTCTGCTCAAATTTAATAATAATAATAATAAATAGATGAGTAAATAAAGTTAAATATGTTTTTTTTTTTAATAAAATAGGACCAGCAGTTGGTATAATGGCTATGTCACTGGACTTCCATGTAGTCGACCGCAGTTCAAGTCCCAGACCCGGTGGCTTAAACTCACGCCAGGCACGTGTGCATGCATGCCCAAGATCTTGAGAGGAAAATGGAGGAGAAGGGATTGTGGCGTGGCCATCCCCCCAGGTGATTTCTTGCTTTCTGCCTCTCTTTCTGGCGAGCGCACATGTCCAATAGCAAAAACCTCTCCCCCCAAAAAATAATAATAAAATAAAATAGTGCTCAACTTATTTCTGTGTTTTCATGGAGCACACTATTCCAGAACCTTAAGCAGTTACTCCAACTCTACACCAATGCATTTTCTGTGCTATGCGTAAGCATAAAAGAGTTACTCGTTTTCTTGAAACTCTTAAAATTACACAGTTATTCAGCTAGAAAGTAAGCTCATATATTATGTAATCTAACTTATTTAGTCTACTGGAAGTTAAATCACATTAAATCTAACAATCCAGATCTTCTATTTCATTTTAATACGCATTACACAAATAAAGAGAAATATACAAAATCTCACCTACCTTGAAAAAAATAAGATAGTGTGACTTATGTTTGCACATCATTTACCAACTGAATTTATTTACTGTTGGGTCACTGGAAAAGTCATGATGTATTTTTGCACAGAAAAAATATACGTCATGACTTTACCAATGACTCAACAGTTTTATAGAGAATGGAAGTATATCTACTGTGTGTGAGGGGAGGTATATTTATACATTGCTTGTTTTCGATCCAAAATTTAAAACTCTAGGCATTGTCAAAAGTTTCCCCTTTTCCCTTCCTCAACAGAAAAAAAAAAAAAGAAACGAAAAGAAATCCTAAAGTCTCATTCTGAGCTGCTTTCAAGAAGTACTACCTCTTTCCC